ATATATATATATATATATATATATACACAGAAGCTATATACAAACAGTAGACTGTGCGTTAATGTAACGCATAAATCCTGAATGGGGGAGAGAAACATTGTCCAGTGTCACGGGCGGCTCTTGGCCTTGTTGATAAGGCCGGTAGCAGATGGGAAAAACTGCAGCAGAATAACATAATTTTAGCTTCCATCTGTCTGTCCAGACAGATTTTTTACAACACTCAACTAGAGAAGTTTGAAATGACAGGGAGGGATGTTTGGGAAAACATGGTGGACGAGCAACAGCTCCTACTGCTGTGGGTATGAAATGTTTAACACTGAGGGACATGTAATTTTTCATTTATGCATAACTACAATCAAAAGACTTTACTGTAAAAATGTCCACAGCTGTTATTGACTTTCTTCATTCTCCAGATAAAAAGTATTTATACTGTAAAAACACTGTACAGCACAATACTATTTGTTTTATTTTCTTCCAAGGTCCACATTGTATGTCCCCTTCTACTATGACCCTTTAGTGCTGCTGTAACACCACAATTTCCCCATTGTAGGACAATAAAGGGATTTTCTATTCTATTTGATTTTATTGTATTCTAAATTCTGTTGTGCTGCATTATGAACCTGCAAGTTGTGTTGTATGTGCCCCCCTGGAGTACGTGGGAAAAACTACATGGAGAATAAAAGCGGAGCATGCATGCATCCATCAGAAATGGAAGAAAAAAAAAAAACTTAATCAGTCTCTAGCATTACATTTCAGTGGAGATGCACATCACAAAAAAATGAGCAGAAGCAGAGCGTACTCATGTAGGCAGACATTGATCCACAGAGAAGGAACAAAGAGGACCGTTGACTCTATTGGACAGAGTGGCATCTTCCTAACATCAACACAGGAGGACGTCCCTCCTTTGGGTGGTGTGATGAAATACGGGCTTCTAATGTCCATGTGGGGAAGTGTATCTACAGTAATATAATATTTGAATGTGCAAAAGAGAAATTTTAGAAGGAGACATGCTGATTTAGTACCTGCAAAAACATTTATCGTTGAATCATGAATCGGTCTCTTCATAGCAGAAAAGAAATGTAATCTTGTCTTGACTTTTTGAAAATACACGTTTTTCCAGAGAGATGGCAGGAGGAGTGTATTAAAAGCCTAAC